TGTTTATGGCTTAGTTGTTCATTGGAAATTTCACTTACTGTTTCTTGGGTTTGTTTTTGTCACAGAACCAGAATGCTCATCATTCAATTCTTAAACAACTCAACTTGGTCAGGTAATTTTCTTAGATCTGTTTTCTGTAATGCTGACATTACACCTTCAGATTGTGTCTTGCGAAAACAAATCAACTTGAGTTTATTCTTCTTAAGAATTCAATAGTCAATTTTTGAAGCTACCCATTATGGCATGAAGATTGCTGTTTGAAGTGTCTATCAAATAGCCACAAATTTGGGTTTATATGTTCTTCATGAATTCTGCCTCACGCCACTTAATGCTCTTTGTGCATCTCTCCATCTAGACAGATGAGGAACTTATTGCCTTATAGTGTATGTTGCCCTTCGAAGACATTACATGAATTAAGTAGCTTAGGAGAAATGCTCTAAAATAAAATGTTTGATCCATCAAATAGAAGTTGTTTAAGATTTGTAGAAGCAGCTTAAATTTTACCTTGGTTAAATATGCTAACAACTATTATTTATGTTTTGTCCTAGGATTGCCACTGCTCCTGATTTGCGTGACTGGACAAATATGGCTGCAACTTATGACAATCTCACAAATTCAGTTAAGTCTAATTTTTGCTGTAATTTATGTATGTCTACATGTTTTCTGTGAACTCTAAGATAATCAAACTTTTTGGTTTTCTTCTAGGTGAAAATTGCGATGGTTGGAAAGTACGTTGGTTTGACAGATTCATACCTTTCTGTTGTGAAGGTGCTATTCTAGTACTTCCAGAAAGAAATCAACTTTTCTAATTTCTACATGCATAAATGTGGGCCTGTGTCTAAGTTTCAAAAGTTGTAAGGTTTTATTCAATCTTGCTTGTTGTAACTGCAAAATGAGTATTGTTTCATAACAAGAAACCATTGTATCTTTTTGCTTTTGAGTGAACTGTTGGGATCCACATCAATTTTGCAGGCCCTTCTTCATGCGTGCGTTGCATGTTCTTTGAAGCCATCAATAGATTGGATTGCGGCTACTGACCTTGAGGATGAAAGTTCCAAATTGGTAATTTTTTTTTGTACATGGCATCACAAATACTCCTTATTAGTTCAGAATTCCATCATTTAAATAATGCACTGTTCTTTTGTAGAAACCGGAAGCACATGCTGCTGCGTGGGAGACCCTGAGGGTAGGATTTTCCTCCATGTGTACTGTTTTTTACTAGCATACATGTCAACTATAACTTTTCTAGTGATCGTGGGGATTTTTTTTTTTTGTTCAATTTTCTGAAGCAGCCAATTCTGTTGAGGGAGGAATGGTTATATAAACATCTCTCCTTGGAAAGTTGGGTTGGAAGCAGGGTGGCTTCTTCTCTTTTCTAGTAAATGTAGTTGTATAAATAATGTGTTTTATGATGTGATTTTCAATAATTTTGGTTTTGAAAATGGAGTGTTGAAAATCATAAAATTACGTTGGTATGTTTAAAAGCTGGACAAAGGGGGAGGGATTTTTGTGGCATTTGGTTTTAGGCCTTTCTGATCCTTCTTGACAATCTATTCTTTCAGAAAGCATCCTGTGTCTTAGTTCCTGGAGGATTTGGAGATCGGGGTGTGAAAGGCATGATATTGGCTGCAAAGTATGCCAGAGAAAACAAAGTTCCGTACTTGGGGATTTGCTTAGGCATGCAGATATCTGTAATTGAGTTTGCTGGAAGTGTAAGAATTTTTTTTTTCATAAGCAAACTTCCGTTTCTTATTTTGTATTCATGTTCTTTCAGTCGTTGCTGTTACCATCCTCTTATGTTTTCTTTGTCTTAGGTTTTGGGTTGGGAAAAGGCAAACAGTACAGAGTTTGATGATGGGACGCTGTATCCTGTTGTCATTTTTATGCCTGAGGTACTGATTTCTTGAATGACAATTTGTATGTTGCTTTCTGCTCAGTTACTTCTATAACGTTATCTGTTAGGACTTCTTTCCCTTTGCACTCATGTGTAGGGTTCAAAGACACATATGGGAAGCACTATGAGATTAGGATCTCGAAGAACAGTATTCCAGACTGCTGACTGTATTACTAAAAGGATGTATGTGATTTCTTATTTCTTTTACGTTTAAATATTTAATGATGAGTTTGTTTCACCCTGGTATTACTTTTTGGAGCAACTACATTTGAAGTATCTAATATGATTAGCATCAGTTAGTTGTATTGAATACTCATTTACCCATGTAATATATATTGTCATTAGGAAGTCTGTAATGCAAATGGTTTGTCCGCCCACAAGAATTTATGGCTGATATATGCTATTTAACTTTCTATAGTACTTGTGTCTCTTCTTCAAGCCGATAGAAACACGAGGCTGGTTTCGTTATGGCCCCAATTCAACCTAAAACATTTAAATCGTTTGCGATTTTTTCTGGGGAAACTAAAGTTTTTGCACTTGGCTGTAGTTTTTTGTAGTACTTATCCTGCTTTTTTTAATTCTTCCTGGATGGATAGGTATCATAACTCAGAATATGTAGATGAACGGCATCGGCATAGATATGAGGTAAGTTTTTAAAGTTTATGGCTGCAAGTCTGATGATTGCGAATGATTGTGACATGAGCAAAATCATTATGTTGCAGGTAAACTCAGAGTTCATCGAGACATTTGAAGAAGCTGGCCTGAAATTTGTTGGGAAGGATGAGACTGGAAAAAGAATGGAGGTACGTGATAGTTCTCAGTCATCTTCAGGTGTTAAAATTAAGTTGTTAATTGCATTCCAGCTATTCAAAGTCATCAAATGATATAGTTCATTCCTGTTATGAATCAAATTAGTAAATTAATATTTGTGATTTTATGTATTTCTTCAGATTTTAGAACTTCCAAGCCATCCCTTCTATGTGGGTGTACAATTTCATCCAGAATTTAAATCACGGCCCAGGAGGCCGTCACCTGTCTTTCTAGGTAAAATTTATTTGACAACGAATTCTTTGTCCACTTGTCCTGATTATCCTGTTCATACCTCGTAGCATTTTCATTGCTTTCAACATATTTATCTCTCAACTGTTATTATTGGAAGCACTATAATTTGATGGCTCATGAATATGGAGGTAGGTGGTTCAGAGTAGTGACTGGATGGAGAATAATATTTTTGTTGATCTCTAAACTATTGAAAAAGTCTGATAATTTGCAAATTATACCAATTGTCAATTTGTAGAAGCAGTTCCTGGATTAGTGAGAGCATCAGTTCTGAAACCCCATGTCCGTTTTACAAATTTACTTATTTCAACTTTGGTATCTGTTTGTTTATATTACAACATTTTTTAACTTCGCTATTAAAATCATGACCTAATATATTAACGTTTAACACTACTTTTGAAGGTTTTATACTGGCGGCAACTGGGCAATTAGACTTATATCTTGAAAAGCAAATAAATGGAAGTTGATGCAACTATTTACTCCCACAATCTTTCAAGGTAAAACAATTTCATGTGTAAGGAAATTGATATGAATCCAACAATTGATCCATTTCATGTACCCAAGAAGCAATTAAGAGTTATTCATCCTTCTAACTATCTTAGGGTTGGAATCACTGGTTAAATTAACTTTATTTGTAAAAGTTTGCAAGGATTCTGAAAGGACTTTTAGCTTTGCACATTCATCCTGAGTGCTTATCAGCCATTAATTTCTTTATTGAATATTTGACCGTCCTTAAATCCATAATTATCGTGCAGAGAAGAACTTGATTCTTTTTGCTGGGTCAAAGGCGTACTATGACAACTAACTCCAATACGAGGTACTTTACTGTAGCTGTACGTGATACCATACAAGTAACTGTGGTTGGATCCAGATGATTGTGTTCTTTGCAGTTATATCGCTTTGACATCCTCCGAGTGGCAGTGGCAGTGGCAGTGGCAGAGCTTAATTTGCCGGTGAAGTGCTGGTTTATTTTTTGCCCCCTATGCGATTTTAGCCCCCTAGCATAAAAGAATCTTGATTTCAAGTGTGTATTATGAAGGCCACAAAAGTAGTATAAAAATGTTTTATACTATTTATTAAGTTAGGCTTTTTTATGTATCATTCCATTTTATGTAGATAGCCCTCCTAAATTAATGCATTGATTAAATTTATTCTTGGTCACTTATGTTTTATGGAAGTTTGGTTCAGAACCAAATAACATAAATGTGGGACTAAATTTTACAATTTAGAGACGTTCTGTCTCGTGCAATCAAGGAATGGCGTACATTCTTGTTTTATTCAATGATTTCTCACATTGGGAAAATGAAATCTTCTTTGCATTTTCATTTGGTCATAGAACTCAGCTAATCAACCCCATAGGGTGCTGCATCTTGACATGGACAATCGGCATCTCGTCAAGGAGAGCTCGCGATCACCTTAATGCAGCTGGCCGTGGGGCGTTGAGTGGCCAAGACTCATGAACTTAAGACACAAGGCGGAGCTCCATGAGAAAGCGCCACTTGAAAATGCCACATGATATACGCTTTTTTCATAGATTCTCGGTCTATTTATCCTTTTGATTTCTTATTAATTATCTATTCAGAAGTAGAAGTCTGGAAGACAAAAGCCAAAGCCAAATACGGACTTGAAATGCTACAACACTAACTTATTAGGTAAATTAATCCTCAATCCTCAAAATAATGGTCAAATTTCAATTATAATTAACATTAATAATGATTAACGTTCCAAGGAAACATAGAGACCACAAAAAGTATTTTCATTTGATTCACCAAACCTCTAACTACAAGAGAAGCCTCAACCACGAATTATGTAATATTCAAAGACTTTTCCATTTAGGGCTCTTTACCTTTTCCCCTAAATATAAACCTTTCCAAATTTACACATAAATGGCGGAACCCATCTTTCTTATAAAACAAACCATCCCTCCCCTTTCTTTTATAACTTAGCTTCTTCTTTGTCTTTGTCTTTGCCTTTGCCTTTGCTCCGGGAGAGGCCTCCGACCACCCCGGCAACTCGACCCTCCCTTCCGCTCACTCACGTAGCTTATATGGACCCGACACCACCACATGTTGAACCCTCCACCGACTCCGGCAAGGCCAAGAAGAAAAGTGGCGGAGTTATGAAGATCTTCAAGGTTGCACTCCTCATGCTCCGCCGTCGGTCCAACAAATCGAAGGCAACCGTCGACACGGGCTCGGATAAGAGCGTGTGGCGGCAGTTGGTAGGCTCAATGCGCCCTCTCCACGTCCAAGGAAATGAATCCCCTCCCACTATATCATTGCCTCCATTGAAACCAAAGAAGAATTTAGAGGAGTTGCCAACGACATGTTCATTATCGCCATCATCACCATCATCATTGTTATCGTTTACTCGTACTTCGAGGTCTTCTTCTTTTGGCACAAGTAAGTACGCTTCTGCTATCAATCTTCAAGAACTCGAGGGTAGAAACGATGACGACAATGACAAAAATGTCATTGAAGACGACAATGGAGGCGATGAGATGATCGATGCAAAGGCGGAGGAGTTCATCACGCAATTTTACGAGCAAATGAGGCGTCAACATCACAACGATTGAAATGGAAAGGAAGAAGAAGCTTGTTTTAATCAAATATGTCTGCATGGGAGGAAGACGTAGCGATGGAGTTCGCACCGATCTTTTCATGGATTCAATTATTTTATTTTATTATTCCTTTTGAATCAAATATGTTAGGATCTCAGATAATCCCTAAAAATTGATGGCTCAATATCATTTTGTGGCTGTTTGTAATTGGTGTCCAATTTTATAATAGATTATTTCCCATTTCATAATTAGTATGTGTTTGAATTTTGGTCCGACACCCGAGCACGAGCACATCTAAACGACGAGGATTCATACGCAGTGCTTGATTGACACCAAATATCATGGACTTGCATCTTACACTTATATGCACAGGTAGAAGCCTGTCATTTCTTATCTTGTTTATGCCATGACCATCTGCATTACGACTTGTGGACTATCTCTATAACGGTCCAAGCTCACCGCTAGTGGATCTTTGAGCTTTTTCTTTCGGGCTTTCCCTCAAGGCTTTAAAACAGCTAGGAAAAGATTTCCATACCATTACAATGGGTGTTTCGTTCTCCATGCATCCTAACAGACGAACTTGGCTCAGCTACGGGAACACACCCCAACTCCTGCCACAACACATTCTCTAAGCAACACATAACGATGCACTCTCGGATGACGCTCACAAGTCTACCAGAAAATTTACTCATCTGAACACGAGCTAACCGAAAGCTTTCCGACACAACCTTAAATAATCAAGCCAAACCCTAGCTAGAATTAAATACTTAGAAATAACCATAATAATACTATAATAATCTTCCTAGTACCCCCGAAAAAATAAACCAAAATTTTGAAAAATTCAACCTGACTTGAATTATGTAAAAGAATTTATTAAATCATAAAGGGATTTCTCAAATTTTCTATTCACATATGTTATATTTACAATTTAAATTATTTCAAAATTTTCATGTAACTTCCATTAATTAACATTAATTAATTGTTAAAATGAAAAATTAAAGAAATAATTAAGCTAAGAAGAATCTAAATTCCATTAAATTAGCGTTGATGTTCATAAATCGAAGTTCACAAACCAGATGGGGAAAGTTTAAGATGAAGATCAACAACATCCACATCATCTGTTGATCCCTTTTCACCTCCTTCCCCCGAATTTCCAAACATCCACCGCCCCGAACCCGCCGATACGCCGCCGTACGCCGCAGTGAAGTAACCGTGATCGCTCCGAGGCAGAAATCTATAACCACGATGACCACCACCGCCACCAATGTGGGCCGGAAAAACGCTTGAGTAAAATGGCGGCGGTCGGAGTGCGGCGGCGAGGTGGTGGTCTGAGGCGTGGAAATAAAGGGCGCGTTTGGCCCTCTGGCGCTCTCTCTTGTGGGCATTCTGGTGGCCGCCGAGCGCTTGCGAATTGGCGAAAACCCGGTGGCAGAATTGGCACCGGAATTTTCTGTCGTAGTCGGAGTTGGTGTCGTCGCCGCCGCCACCGTCGGGTGTCGCCGGCGGAAGGTCGTCGTGTTCCACCAGTGGGAACCCAAATAGTTTCAAAATGGTGGAGGGATTTTGATTGGACATTTCAGCTCTGTCTCCTCGTCTCCCCCATGTACCTATATTTATAGTTTTTTTTTTTTTTTTTAATTTAAGGAAAATTGGATGTTTAATATGAAATATGTTAAATTATAAATTAGAATTTATCTTAAAATTAGTCCTTAGTTAAATAAAAATAAAATAGAATGAATGAAAAACATGATTGAATTGGTCCCGTTCACTTTTTGAGACAAAATGGAAGAGGGGAGAAGATTCTCGAACGAAGAAAATGATCCAATGACTTCGAAAGAATTGAACGAGAAGCCGTATGAGGTGAAAATTTTAGGTACGGTTCTGTCGAGTGTCAATAAATGTGACTTATCTGTCAACTTTTCCACCATCACCCACAAAAAAATTAAATTCTGTCTAACGTAAAGTTGACAGAGTACACTTAACCTCGGGATTTGAAATCACTCCTTATATACTTGATATTAGCCATAATTTACTGGAACATTTTGTAATCTTATTAAGAGGGGGAAATGGTTAAGGATTTACTCGGTGTGAGATATCACATTGTTCGAGAAATTCTAGATGTTGTCGGAGTAAAAGAATTTATCTTTGAAGTAGCTCATTTTAATTTTAAAAGAATTCATATATAATGATTTTTTTTTTTTTTTTTTTACTCACTCGAGCCGAACTCAACGGATCAAATTGTTATAAAACTATTTTCAAGGTTAAAGTTTCACTGCTATTATCATAAACTAAAAAGAAAGAGCGGTTACTGCATTTTGACCAATTAAACCATGCGTAGGTTTAGTCGTAATCATTACATCTACAGTTATTGGTGTCAGTCAATTGATTTCATCGATATTCGTTACCTAATTATTTCATCTTCTTTAGGACAAGCTTAGTACACTGTAAATGTGTCCATAAGCACAGACAATCTTATTCAGGGTATCGAACGGTAAAGCTGTTTAGATCAATGTTTATCGGTAAAGGTGGTAAATTTTTGTTGGAACGTTGAAGGGTAAATTTGTGAAAGAAAGGAAAGGGGAGGGTAAATTTATAGTAGATGGTTGGAGGTAAATAAGAGTAAAAAAAAAAAAACAAAAGTGAAGTTAAAAGTGGTGGGTGTTGGGTCAACGAAACAACTGTATTAACCTAGACGTTTGTCATGTTGTTACCTTTTTTATGTGTAAAAAAAGGACAACCTTAGTACACAATAAATGGGACCATAACCTCACATCATTTATTATTTACTCCCCATACAATGTATGTGGACCGTGGTTTACAACATCATGAACCCAACACAATAATGTAATCATAAACCCGTTCAGATAACTTAAAAAATTCGATCAATCTAACTTAAACCGTCAAGTAAAAAAGTCAAATCTAACCCTTTTAAAGGCATTTTGAGTAACAGCTCGAGTCCACAATAAGCCAAAAGTGCCCTTCTAAGTCCATAGTCGGCTGGGGAGTGCCTGCAAAGAGAGTCAGCCTCACCTACAACTATGGCAAACGCTGAAGAGTCACGTCTACGTTGCGAGTCTTGGTGGCCGAGTCCAAGATGGGCGAACAACAGAAATAGGTCCGAAGGGGGATAGCCGTAGATAAAGGAACAAGCCAAAGTGAGACAAGTTCACCCAACAACTGACCAAGTCAAGAGTCAGAACGCGGTGCCACCTGACGAAAAGAGAAGTTAGAAGCATCCACTCGAACTTGGGAGCGAGTAGATATTGTTTTTTTTTTTTGCTTTCCTTTTTGGGATTCTCCTCAAGGTTTTTAAAACGCGTCTCCTACATGAAATCTCACCATCTACCTTCTTAGTGTCTTAGTTGGATTATTTAACCAATATAAACACAATCTAATAACTAAGATATTTGCTTCTTTTATTTGAAAGTTAGAAGTTTAAATCTCGAAAAATTTGAATAATAATCAAAATTAGTCATAATTATAGTTTAGTTTTATCAGGAGGATTATATCTTTGTTGAACGTATTAAAACCATTTTCAAATTGAAAAAACGGAAAGTAGCAGTGGAAGAAGAGTTGAATTCTCGCAATAATGTGCATACCAAAGAAAAGATCGACAAAGATCTAAATCAAGATATGTTTTAAGATATGTTTCTATCAAAGTTCGAGGTTATAAAACGACGATAAATGATAGTACACATGTAGAATAAAAAATGTCATGTGCTATTGTATAAATTGAATGTAAAAAAAAAAAGTAGGGAAAGTGGAAGGAATATGATAGCATTTCTTTTTCTTATTATCTCATTATTGTTGGTAGGGTTTCAAGATTTTGATTAGATTGAATGATGAGATTGCTTCACATATATATATATTGAAGTGCACGAGACGACATGTTTGTGAGTGTCGTTTTGTAATTGGATGAGTGAGTTTGAGACGTCCAAACTAACCCTAATAAAGGTGGTGTGTTTTATCAATATCCAAATCTTTTAATCAACCATGATTAGGTTAATGTTGCATACGATGTTTCATATATGGTTGAGTTGACGTTTTAAGAGAGTGACAATTACAACGGTGGAAGATTGAATTATCAACTTTTAAGAGTATAATTGGTTCTTTATCCATTAAACGATACCCAAATTTAGTTAACAATTGTGAAAGTGGAAGTTTGAACCATCATCCACTGAACTATGCTCAAATTTGGTTAACAATTGTGAGAGTGGAAGATTGAATCATCGATCTTTAAGAGTGTAATTAGTTCTTTATTCACTGAACGATGCTCAAATTGGTTATAAAATTATCGGTATTAATGTCCTTACAAAAGTTAGCCACGTAGATCAATTGAGTTTGATTTTGGAATAAAACAGGTACGAGATATATAATGCGACAAAAAGAATGTTATTATTACTTTAATGAAATTGGATTACACCCGACAAAGAAGGTCGAAAATGAGAGATTAAGGATGATGACAAAAGATTGATACTTTTGTAAAGTATCACGTGAGATTCCACGTTAGTTGGAAAGTAAAACAAAACATTTCTTATAAAAGTAAAGAAATATCTACCTAACATACAAATTTTAAAACCGTGAAGCTGACAACGACACGTAATGAGCAAAAACAGACTATATCTATTAGCAGTTAGCTTAGACTGTTACGTATCACTCCGAAAAAGACGAAGGAGACAAGCGAGCAATTAATTGGTCCTATGCCACCATTGATTGGAATTTGTGCAGTGAGTACTAAAATTATTCGAGTGGGCTACCTTCCCTTTCCCATCATAACTACGATTCGTGCGTTTATCTATTTCTTATGCTTTTCCAATGCTAACGTCTAATATTATTCCCACATTTTAAGTACACTCCATACCTCCCTTTTCTTTGTCTCTCCCCTTTCAAACCCGTGTCGTTTCACGTGAGATGTCTATCTATTCTAAGCTAAGAGATACTTTAAAAAGGGAAAATAGTTGTTACAATATCATTAACAGCTTAAACGTCGAATCAAGTGTTAAAGAACGGTAAAGTAAAGAGATGTTTCAATGAATGTCAGAAAGAGAATCGAAGTAAGATTGTAAAATCGTGGGAGGAAAAAGTGATTTGATTGAACTTTTAAATGGTGTAAAGTAAAGGGCATATGGCTCTAAGTGGCCATAAATAAGTAAAGTTGGTTCTCTATGTTTGGTCAACCACGCAGGCCGGTCCCATTTTTTTTTTGCTTTGTCGTGTTCTTTTTAGATATTATTTTAATCCGTGCGTGGAATATGTGACAGACCCATGAATACGCTAAACTTTTTAATTGATTTCATAAATTTTGTTTGGTTCGGGTCAATCCAAAGTTTTTATCTTATGAATTCGAAACAAAACCAAGTCAATTCGAGTTCAGGAAAAAATAACTCAATCCAACCCAACTCTTAAAATTCGAGTTGGTGGTTCGAGTTGTCTCCTCACTTATAAACACATGATCATTCCCTAAATTAGCCGATGTGGGACTTTCATCATCCAACACCTCCCTTCGAACAAAGCACGCCTCCCCTTAATCGAGGCTTGACTCCTTTGGAGTCTTAGTCATTTTTTACTGCCTTCGTACCTTTAATACCATGTTAGACGAACACGACTCTCCACGATGGTATGATATTGTCCACTTTAAGCATAAGCTCTCATGACTTTGCTTTAGGCTTCCCAAAAGGCCTCATGTCAATGGAGTTAGTATTTCTCACTTATAAACTCATGATCATTCCCTAAATTAGCCGATGTAAGACTTTCATCATCCAACAGAATATACACTCCTATTAAACGATTTAACTGGTAGAATAAATTTACAATATGGTAACTTTTTGTTTTATACCCAAAAAGTTAATTTTAGCTCTAATAGTTTAATTAGTTGAAAATGTTAAAATTTAGATGAGTCAAATGGTAATTTAACAAAATTTATTTGATATATATATATATATTCAATGAGAGAATAAAGGGAAGATAATGGGCCACGTGTGGGTCTGGGGTGTTTATTTGGGCCACTAATAAAAGGCCCATTTTCGTTTACTAATCCAAAGCCCATCTACGAATAGTGTAGATGACCATATTTGATTAGGGATTTTGATCAAATGACTAAAATACCCTTTATTCGTAATATAATAAACCAATCCCTAAATCAAGGAAGGGTGAAACACGTCATATATATCAAATATTCAAGTTTATTATATATTTGTAACAACATTATAAACAATTATTCACAAATTCTATGATTCTCAATAATCATCTAATTCCAATACGATATTGATTTGGATCGAATCGAATAACAAACAGTAATTCAATAGGACGTCTATTTTCTTCTTTTTCGTGAAAAAACTATTAATGAGATTTATTAAATCAGTGACGGGTGAAGTTGAGAGACACACACTCCTAAGACAGACACCAAAAGTGGATTCATTATTGAACGAAAAGGTCGAATATTTAATATTAGTGATTCATAGAAACATGTTTGTGATTGGGTAATTGAGAGATGTGACAATAAGGATGCCCATAAGTTGAGGTCACACTCTCAATCCGTTTAAACATAGCTTAATTGGTTGAAACACATGTAATAACTCAAACTCACCGCTAACAGATATTGTCTCCTTTGGCCCGTTGCGTATCATCATGGCCTCACAGTTTTATAATGCATCTAAAGTTTTCACCCCTTATAAGGAATGTTTCATTCCTCTCTCCAACCAATATAGGATCTCACAATACATCCTCCTTGGGAGCTAGCATCCTCACTAGCACACCGTCCCATGTCTCACTCTAATACCACTTGTAACAGCCCAAACTCACCGTTAGCAACTATTGTCCACTTTGGCCTGTCAACCTCACGATTTTAAAACGAGTCTACTAGTGAGAGGCTTCCACACCCCTATAAAGAATATTTTGTTTCTCTCTTCAATCAATATGGGATCTCATAATCCATCCTCCTTGGAGGCCAGCATCCTCGTTGACACACCACCTAGTGTCTGACTCTGATACCATTCGTATCAGCCCAAACTCACCCTAGCAACTATTGTCCGCTTTGCCCGTTACGTATTGTCGTCGGTTTCATGGTTTTAAAATACGTCTACTAGAGAGAGGTTTCCACACGCTTATAAAGAATGTTTCATTCTACTCTTCAACCAATATGAGATCTCACAATATATAATAAGATATCAATAGCTCCACATAACCATCAAATGAAGTACCGTTATCCTCTTTGAAATTAAAGCAATCGACCTTTGATCCTGCACTCGATTGATTCTATAAAAAGAAACGTTAAATTTCTATAATAGATTGCGCAAAACTCGATAAATATGACATCGCTGATTCAATTACTTTGGAACTCTAAAACTAAAAATTTGTCAATCCCTCCAACATTTTTAAATTTTGATTTTTTTTAAAAAAAAGTTCACAAATTAGAAATAAAAGAAAATGAATTTAAAATATGCTTATAAGGCAAGGGCATTAAAGGAAACCTACTTCCCAATTATGGGTGAAAGCAAAAGGGCATATCCGTCATTTCACCATTACCCTGAGAATAAAAACTCGAACGAATTAGCCAAACACAATTCAAACTCATTTCAATCTCTCTCAGGCATTTCATCAAACACCTTCCGACCACTCTTCTTTGTAGCAGAATCCGATCGATCGATGCTCAAATAATCGCCGATTTTACGTTTTCTTTGATCATCATGGCCTTCTTCATCAACAACCATCCCGATCTCTCTGGCTCGACCTTCAATCCATCGTCTTTAATGGCGATTTCGAACCAAGGTCTACTCTGTACCGAGCCGCAGAAACAGAGGACCTGCCACCACTGTCGCACCACCAGAACCCCCCTCTGGAGAGCCGGTCCTGCCGGTCCAAGGGTAACCACTTAAACAATGGTGTGATTCATTCATCATTTAATTTCAATAATCTTTTGATTTTGATCGATTTCTAGGATTTTGTTTTCGACAGTCGCTGTGCAATGCGTGTGGGATTAGATACAGGAAGCTGAAGAACAATAATGGCGGAGTGAATAAGAGTGGAAATGGGAAGAAAGTGGTGAGAGTGGTTGGTTTGGGGAGAGAGATAATGCTGCATAGAACGACGGCGGCGATGGCGGAAAATGGAGGTGCAGAGACGATCGGAGAAGAAGAACAGGCGGCGGCGATGCTTCTCATGGCTCTATCTTCCGGCTATGTATCATAAACGGAATTAAAAGTAATTAAAAAGAGTGGATTTTACGCTTTTTATCTCCTTCATTTTGTATGGAAGGAAATTTTGAAATGGAAATAATAATTTATTTTTATTATTATTATTTTACTTATTTAACAATTTTATAATCAATTTTCAATATAAATTAGAGATTAAATGAATTTAATATCTCAAAAGTGTATTTTAACATTTATTCTAATAAAAAATAACTTTTTATATCGAACATACCTCATAATTAATAACTTAAATCTCACAATTAAATTTTAAAAGGTTCTAAATTTAAATCATTTTATGTTAAATTGAAATATTCTTGCCTTTGTACTATTCATTTAATATTAAAATAATAATTAATTTAATTTAATTTCTTTTAGAACAACCCACCAATAATATAAAACATTATTAAAGATTATTATTATAATATTTAATCTATAATAAATTCTGTTCAAATAATTTATTTAATTTATAATGTTTGGCATTGTGCTTTAATTCCAATATTAATATGGAGAGAATAATTAATGTAACTATGAATCTCGTGGAAAATTTGTCAGATGGAAAGTAGTGTTTTTAGTCGTGGATGGGTGAGTAACACGTAAAAACCTACCTTTAAGAGGGGAACACTAAGAACGATTGTTGATACTTCGTACACTAAAGAACCAAACCCTGCCAATGTGGGTCTGGACACAAGTTGATTCCCGCATGAATGTTCTCATGTGCGAATAAGCTTCAGCACAAGTTGAGCTGAATTGGAAAAACCATTTAGATCCATTCCAGATGTTGGGTTATTTGAGTATGTGACTCGAGCCATCCGAACAGAATTCATAACTCAACCAACTTAGCCCTTTATTTTCTTGGGTTGTCTGGATTTTTCTTTATTTTATTATTATTTTTTTAAATTATAGTAAATTTTAAATATCAAATATTCATAAGTTACCATACAAATATCAAATACTAAAATTAGTTACAAATATCAAATATTCTTTATTTACGGCCGGAAAATTCATAATTTAATGTAAAAAGAAAGACCACTCCGAATTTCTATGGCTTTAAATTCCCATTTTCTCTAACATTCCATTGTCAAGCTTTCCAATTCACACAACAATGGCGAATCTCGTCTCAATTTACTTCACTTTCCTCCTCTTCACACTCTCTAAATTTTCCTTTCTCTCATCGGCGACCGCCGTGGCCAAGGATCAGGTCGGCTGTTCCATGTGCTCAAGTTGTGACAACCCCTGCCAACTCCCTCCTCCGCCACCGCCACCTCCCACGTCACAATGCCCTCCTCCGCCGCCTCCGCCTCCGCCCTCGTGCAGTACCTGCGTCCACCCTTCTCCGACGCCACCAACCTCTGTCCAGCCGTACCAGCCGGCCGATGGTGGTCAATTCCCCGGCCTTGCTCCTCCGCCGCCGCCGAATCCAATTTTACCATATTATCCTTACTATTATTACAGTCCCCCCACTGCTTCTGGCGAAAGCGTTTCAATTTCATGGAAAATTTTGCCTTTGGGTCTCTTAATCATTATTTGTCTCTGAAGAACTCTGAATTCTCCATTGCTGACAGAGAAGAAATGGGTTGTGCTGATTATCAATTTATGCCATAAATTATGATGTATTAATCATTCTTTATTTTACTTTATTTTCTTTCAATCCTGGGTTCGAATCACTGAAATAGATGTTTGTTCCATTTTTTTTTTTAATTTTATTCCATTTGTGAAACTATTAGATATTTTCATCATTATTCATGGACTTATTAAATATTTTAGATGATTATGTGTCCCATGTGGCTTTAGTAGTTGGTAGCTTCCTTTAGGATAAGAGTATTCCAAAATTCCCACTTTATTGGAATATTGGATCACTTTCCCATTTTGGTCCATTTTTTAACTCTACATTGCTTACTTTATTCACACAAAAATAAATAAATAAATAAATAATAATAATAATTTAAGAACGAAGATATATCTTATAGGAATCAAATAGTTATCAAACAAAAGATTAGTATTTAAGTGGAGAGACAAAATTAATTAAGTGATCTTTCGAGTGAAATCAGGGAAAGGAAATTCAATAATAATAAGAATCAAAGAACGAAAGATGAACGAGAGTTTACAGTGAAAGAAGGTTCAACGATCTTCCGGAAAGAAAAGAATTTTCTAGTCTGATTTAACGAGAGTTTCACTATCTGTTTGATTGAACGAGATAAAACATATTCTTCTCTTCTCTCTCTCTATTAGTTACTTAAGAAGGTTATTGCCATTTTCTAGGGGTACGTTAGTCTTTTGATTAAGGGACAAGTCAGTGTACTTCATTAACTCACGGAAGGTTGAATCATAGTCCGTCCATTCATTCATTCCAGTCTGTCCTTTGAAACAAAGAGATAGCATGTTTGTGATCTAGTTCCCATCCACTCTTTTCTTTTACCATAAAGGTTCACGAAATGCAAAGAATTTCCACTCCCTTCACTATCTCTCTTCTTTTTCTGAATCTTGGCGATCTTCTCTATCTAATGAATGGGAGTCCGCTTTGAAATCGTCTGCTCTGTGACACAATCGCACTTTTAAAGGCAGCGGACTAGCGATTGTGCGACACTCACTTTCCAACGACAAGTGAGTTAAGCCAATTTGTTCTTGCATCGCCTACGGCCAAGCAACGTATGATCGAGCCTCTAGCCTCGGTTTTGAAAGAAGGTTTTAGAAAACGAGGGTAGAGAGAGATTTTTGAAAGAGACGTTATATAAGCAAGCAAGAGTGAGATAACAACGACTTAGCATATATAACCTTGGGTAGGGAGAAGTTGACATACGTTAGCTACCCTGTGGCACATACGTGTGTCATAGTGTGGGCGAGCGTGTCGAGACGAGTGTCTCGGGCGACTTCCTTTGAAATGGGTTTTTGAAGGACAGTACCGGACGGCACGAGTGTGCCGGTATTGCGCCCTAGCCCGCGTGTTGGAGGTTGCTACATACACCTGCTATCCGGGACGGTATCCGTAAATGACTCGGCATGGGCACGGGAGGGCCTATGCCTCGATAGAACCCAGATGGATGGATGTTCGGGAAGTCCCGATGAGATGAACGACACGCGGGCCCATTCTCGATGGCATGACCGAATGAGTTATGATGGCCGACGACACCCCGAGACTCGGGATGGCGCCAAGACATATGAACCCTATCGATGGGAATCGAGATGACAAGATGAGATGCGACGTTATATTGAGAGACCTTGGCTCGAGTAGAGGCAAGGTCGAGTCGAATGAGTTGGTCTAGCGTAGAGGCAAGTCGGATGTGTCGCAGATGATTGAACATACATGCACAGGCGACGTATGTGGTTGAACAAGCTTGGATTCCACACAAGCGATGTTCGATTGGCGAAGACAAACCTCGCCTAAGGTCCAACGAAGCCACAAAGCCAGGGCGAAAAATACATATGGGGCTTAATTCCCCTTAAGGCTAGTCGTGAGCATGTATAGATCACGGGCCGCACGACCAAGAAGGTAGGACCATGACACCCCCCCCCCCCCCCCCCCCCCCCCCCCCCCCCCCCCCCCCCCCCCCCCCCCCCCCCCCCCCCCCCCCCCCCCCCCCCCCCCCCCCCCCCCCCCCCCNCCGCTTTGAAATCGTCCGCCCTGCACCCCCCCCCGAGTATATGCTTCAACGGGAATTAAACAATGATAGATTGATACAATAGAAAAAATGCCCACCCGTAACCCAGCAAATAAAGTACATTACATAGTCCGTTTTAGGGATTGGCGACTTACCCATTCAGTGACTTTGACACTGGACGTTCAAAAAATGGGGTACTAGCGGGTCGGGTGAATTCAATAATAGATGCCTGTTGTTGGCATTCCAGCCTTCCTTCTCTTTTCAGGGCCTACCCGAAAGAGAATCTAGTGTTTCTTGGTCGTGAATATCTGAATAGGACAAACCGCCTCGTGGTTTGCTTCGGAACAAAACAATTAGAATTAGGCTCGTTGAACTGGAATGTGTATTATCCATATAGGAGATCTTTCAATGGATATTCTTGATCCCGACAAGGGAAATGAACAATTTATAAAAAAGCTTTCGTGTGGTTGATTCATAGGTTCAATGTTTCTTCCCCTCCACTACCTATTTTTATATCTGTAGAGTAGGGTCGACTTAATCCATAAGTTACACCTTTTGCTCGATACTAGAATCAACAATTAAAACATCGAAATTTATATTAAGAAGAGATACATGACCGAGGGAATTTTTTTATTTGAAAATTGGACCGGATTTGAAGAACAATGGCATAAAATCAAGGAGGAGATCTGACATCTGGCGGTCTTCGTTGAACCAGCAAAGGATAGAGATTTGAACATGGTACGTGCTTCCATTAATGAACATCACCATCCCCTTTCCCTCTTTAAATTACTCCAATTTCTCACAAAATTGTGGATTAAATTTCAATGGAAGGCGTTTCGGTGGGCCGTGGGCGGCGGAAGACGGTGCAGCTTGGGGCACCCGGGGGGAAGCGGCGACATGTGTGGCAGTTCAAGGTCTTGCGGAAGCTCAGGCGACTCCGGCGACTGCCGTCGCTGAAGAAGCTGCTTATATGGTTGAGGGATTCTTATATGAACGCGATGCTGGCGCTTGCGAGCTCCAGGGTTGTTGGTTCCGGCGGAGGTACTGGCGATGGGGTCTGGGGCGGCGCTGGCGGAAGGGCCACGTTGAAGGAGTATGATGAGGAAATGATCACGGAGATCTACAAGTCGTTGGTGGTGGCACAGGGGCGGTTGCCTCCGCCGGAATCTGTCCGGCCGAGTTGGGTCGGCGGCCGGTTGCCGGCTGTGGCGGAATAATCCGGTGGAGGTAGGGGAAGGATATTCTATCCTTGATTTTTTTTCTTTCTGTTTTTCTATTTCTTTGTAATAAATTAATTAAGATTTAATATTAATAAATAAATAAATAAATAAATGGGGTTTGAAATATACTTGAATTAAAAAATAATTAGTTAAGTGGAGTAATAAGTTAGTTAGTTAGTTAATTTGGTTAATTTTAATAATAATCACGTGTGGGAACTTCTATTCTTAGTTTAAGTTTAATTACATTAATTCAATTCTTAAAATCTTGCTGCAATTTTGGTTTGTAATTAGGGGTATTTTTGGTATTTTAAAAATAATCGTACAATTAAAAAGATTTTTGAGTTTTTTATTTTCTTTTTCAAAATACTTATTTCTATAATAATTGAAGATTAAATTATGTAGTTAATGGTTGTTATTTTTATGATTGTATTGATTTTCATTTAATCCTGACCTCCTTCATTTATTAATTCCAACTGCCATTAATATTTTTAAAAATTAATATCCTTTAATTCTGCGAATTACTGAAATTTAAAAAATAGATATCAAATAAGTAACTAAGTGACTGAATTATTATTTTATAAGTTTTTTTTATAAATATTTTCATTTATTTTGTAAAATGTCTATTTTACCCTCATTCTCACCTGATCCTAATTATTGATTTATTATGACATTTTATAATATTTTCTTTAAACAATTATATTTAAAATTATTGGTTTAATTGTTATTACTGTGGAAAATAAAATTTAAAAAATTACCTAAAATTCTAAAATTCTCCGTTATAATTTCACAAAAATAAATAGAGAATTTTTTATATGAACCAAGAGACATCAATCATACAAGATGCTTCAATGAAGATGTGAAGAAAATATTGTTGCAATTATCGATTGATATTTCAATTCATACCATATTGAAGAATAATGAAGTTTTATGTTATAAATTTTGGGTAGATTACAATTAAAGTAATTTAAAGTTATTGTATTTCATCTATGTATTTTAAGACTTGGAAAATATAGTAAAAGAAGCATCTATGCTTTTCTTTAGTCAATGACTAAGTTTCTTTGCATTCTTTAGTCAATGACTAAGTTTCTTTGCAATTCTATGTAGTTTAGGTTGCAGTAGAATCATTCAAGCTCGACATGATCAATCTTGCTTGTGGAGTGATTCGAATCTCAAGCAAGTGTTATTGCCTTGAGATATGCAATTCTATGTAGTTTAGGTTGCAGTAGAATCATTCAAGCTCGACATGATCAATCTTGCTTGTGGAGTGATTCGAATCTCAAGCAAGTGTTATTGCCTTGAGATATTTGATCAACAAGAATCATTCAAGCTAAACATGATCGTGCTTGTGGAGTGATTCGAATCTCAAGCAAGTGTTATTGCCTTGAGATATTTGATCAACAAGAATCATTCAAGCTAGGCATGATCGATCTTGCTTGTGGAGTGAATGTTCTTGCCTTGAGATATTCGATCAACAACGTAATCCGAATCTTACTCCCCTCGTAGTGGTTCCTTATCTTATCAATTTTATTGAAAATGAGAATTGAAATATATAGCACATGGAGACGAGTAAGTTTTCGCCACCCTCATCCCGCTTTGTGGACATTTCTAGTGATGGTTGAAAAATTAACAATGAAAATACTATCAACGAGATCTTGTCAATAACGTGATTAATTTAAAAACGAACCAAAATTTTTCCTTAAACTTCAAATAAGAATTTGATCGATGAATATCATGCTATACAATTATGTCTTATTTTAAGTTAGATATGAGATGTTAGACAAACATCACTTTCCACAATGGTATGGATATTGTCCACTTTGAGCATATGCTCTCCTGGGTTTGCTTTGGGCTTCCCAAAAGGTCTCACACCAATGGAGAGTATATTCTTAGATTATAAACCCATGACCATTCCCTAACTTGACCA